ATTAAATTGGAGAACGGCACTGCCAAATTTCACAGCTGCAAGGTAATCTCCTTTAACATGTCTAAAGGTAACTTACCTACTGGTACCCTACGTTGTGCCTTGTCTCGGACAGTCATCCCTGATATACTTACTGATTCTACTATTCTTCCCCTGTCCGCACCAAAAACAAAGGGCCTCGGGCCTCCTCCTGTAAAAAGTGACTCCTCTAACTCTGCATTTGGGTCAGCACCCTAACTCTCAGGGGTAGGGCCCATGGAAAATTTGTTTTAGCTTCTGTAGCTTCCATTTTCCCCTGCCGAGAAGAATCATCCTTACCTGAACCAAAAAACGCAGTGAAAACACATAAATCCAGGCATGAAACACATACATTCAGAAATGAAAACAAGCTGAGTCCAACCCACGATTGTGGGTTGAACTGTGGTCCCCCAAATATACGTCCACTCGGGATCTGTGGGTGTGACTGTACTTGGAAATAGAGTCTTTGCAGATGTTACTCAGGATTTCAAGAGGAGTAAGGATTTCGAGGGGAGGTCATCCTAAATGTAGGTCAGGCCCTAACTCCAGTGATCGATACCCTTTTGAGAGGAAGGCAGAGGGAGATCCGAAACACACAGACCCATGGAGGAAGGCCACGTAGAGATGGAGACGGAGACCAAGGTGAAGCAGCCACGAGTCAGGAAACACAGAGGCTTGCTGGCAGCTCCCAAGAGCTGGAACGGCGTCTCCTTCAGAGCCTCCCAAGGAACCAACCCTGCCCACACCTTGATCTCAGACTTCTGGCCTCCAGAGCTGTGAGAGAATCCATTTCTGTGGTTTTAAGACTGGTTTGTGGTGCTTCTCACAGGCACCCTTAGGAAAGTAGCAGAGGCTTAACCGAAGGAACTCAGCGTCCTCATGGGAAATCTAACCTTCTATCCTACAACTACGTTCAGATCACAGATGTGCCACCAAATAAATAGTTTCTCTACTCATTTTGCTCATCCTTTAGCATTTTTCTACAGAGCCAAAGAAAAGCACTACCAAGGAAACTATGCAGCTCAGAAATTTGTACCATTCAAATAATAATGTACAGTCAACCGGTGGCTTAAATTCATTGCTGATCCAGGGTACATCAGGCCAGAGGACCAAGAAGTAAAAAATAAAAATAAAAAAACTTGGACTCTTCAATCTGAGAATTAACAAACAGCAACAAAAAGAGACACCTTCACAATGTGCAAGGATCACTTGAAGATGGCTTCAAACCAAATGGAAAGTAAGATTTCAAACAGGGTGTCAATGTCTGTGGTACAACCCAGATGCTTACAACTCAAGCCAAGTCGTTTATTTCCAGAGAAAGCAAACAGTGCTTCTCTTTTTTCTTGAACCCTCCATGAGGTAGGTCGCTGGTTAGAAGCACCGAGCTATTAAGGAGAAGGGTGAGGAATCCAGGGTTTAAATAAAAGACTACACGTAGCTTAATAAGAAGACTTCTGTCAAAGGATCTGAATATAAAATCAGTGACATCACATGAATAACACAAAACCAGTCTAATCCCAGGAAAAAAAATCAGGACAACTAATACAACCAGATCTAAGCACATGGAAACACGTCCCAACCATCTTGGACAGCCATTACCTTTCTTTCCCTCAATAAGACGATGATCGACTAATTTTAAACTATTTAGACTTTTAAGATTAGGAGACAAGGAACATCTGCTTCAGAGGAGTTCTGAGTAGCTTGCAGCAGAAATTCCACTCGGCCAAGAATGAGAAAGGCCAGGTAAACAAAAAGGAACCTGTGCAGAGACTTCCAAGAGCAGCCAAAGCAATCAGGACTGGGAGGAGTAAGATTCCAAACAACAGCACAGCTGAGAGAGAGAAGAGCTGACTTCTGCAGCCACGGGGAAGCTGCGATTCTGAGCATGGGCAAGAGGCTGAGGACACAGACAGACAGACACCAGCAGAGCCCTGGTGGTCACTGTAGGCCAGAGGGACTTCAAACACCCGGCCAGTCTTCCCACAGGACATTTGCTGAATCTGCAGAGAGCAGAGGCTTTTTCAAAAGCTAAGCTGAAACCCTCTGAAAATGTGGAGCAGTTTGGGGAAGAATCAAGGTGCCGAGAAAAACAGATTCACGGTGAAGAGGTGCCGAGGGGAGGGGCAGACGATGCCACAGGCCCTCCGCTGAGCACAGGGCGACCAGAGGCGGGCTAGATTAAGACGTTCACCTCCCATTGGATGTGCCCAGGGAAGAAAAGGGGGGAAACCTGTCTGGGGGACCAAATGGAAATTCCAGAACTGAAGTTTAGAAAGGAGTGTATGCTTCATTCTGATTACTATGGAATATTTGACTCTGTAAAAGCTTACACTATACTTCTATAAATACTATTGGGTTGTCGAAAAAGTCATGATGTGTTTTTCTATGTTTTTCATTGCAAAAATGCGTCATGACTTTTCCAGCAACCCAATATGTACTTTTTAGGTTTCATTCTAAAAGCTTTTTTTCCCTTTCTTCTTATCACTTTTACCTTTAAAAATAACTCATGCTCATTGTGACCAGTGAAGCAGAAGATGGAGAAATTATTCACTTCCTCCAATCTCCCCTCCATTCCTAGCAGCCAAAGGTAACTGCCGTCGTGTGTATGTTTTGACATCTTCTCTGTGCTCACACAAATATATTATTCAAACATATATGATGGGAAAGTTTGGTGGTTCCTCAAAAAGTTAAACATAGAATTACTGTATGACCCAGCAATTCCACTCCTAAGTATACACTTAAAAGTATTGAAACTAGGCGCTCAAATACTTGCACACAATTTTCACAGCAGTGTTACTTTCACAACAGCCAAAAAGTAGAAACCACCCAAATGTCCATCAACTGATAAATGGATGAACAAATTGTAGTCTGTCCATACAATGGAATATTATTCAGCCACAAAGAGAAATGAAGTACTGATACATTCTACAGCATGGACGAACCTTGAAAATACTATGCTAAGAGAAAGAAGTCAGACGTGTATTGTATGATTCCATTCATATGACGTTTCGAGAATACAGAAATCCTGGGGGGCAGAGTACAGTTGCTGGCTGCAGGGGGGACATGGGAGGAACTGCTTAAAGGTATGGGATTTCCATTTGGGGTGATGGAAATGTTTTGGAACCAGATAAAAGTGTCGGTTGGACATTGTGAATGTACTAAATGCCACTACATTGGTCGTTTAAAATGGCTAAGTTATGTGAATTTCACCTCAATAAATTTAAACATGGATTTTGTTGTTGCTACTGTTTTTCCTCCAATTTGTTTTTTTAATCTATAAAGCCAATCCATTCCTTTTTTTTTTTTTAAAGATTTTTATGGGGGAATTGGGGGATGGGAACAGTGCTGGGGAATTAGGGGAAGGGGAACAGACAAGTTGCTGTCCTTTTGTTCTTCAGTCTAGTTGTNCTCAAGGACCCGGCAGGCCAAGCTCGCCTTCCTGTGTCCTGGGCAACCCAATCACGGAGTGCTTGTCAGTGTTGTCAGCGAGGAGCTGAGCTTGTGGTGGCCAAAGCAGAGACGTGGTTTCCTGCCTCCTCACACAGGGCAGTCACAGCAGGTCCCAGTGGGTCACGGTAGGCAGGGCCTCCTATGCAGCCCCTGGGCCTCACTCCAGGGCACGCGTGGTACAAGCCTGGGGTGAAGAACCCCAAGGACCAAGAGGAGGTAATAAGGAGGTGGTGGGCCCACTGGGCTGCCAGCAAGTGCTGTGAGGACCGGAAGTCCTCACTACCAGTCCTGCAGCAGGGAACAACGGCCACCAAAGCCACATCCACTTCCCTAGGTGATACCACTGGGGGATTTCTGAGGAAAGGCATCAGTGATGCTGCCAGGGGACCAGCGAGTAAGTGCTAATGATTTCAGGAAGTCCCCACAGGTCAGCTCAGGGGGGCGACTGCTGTGTACGCCCAGTGAAGGGCTCTGATCAGGGCCCACCTGGACACCTGTTACAGGCACACAGCAGGTTCAAGTCCGCTTTTCTGTCTCCATCCAGAAAGGCCTTTGGGTACATTAACAATACTGGCAAGCTCTATTTAAAATGAATGACACGGGAGGCCCCAGTGTCAGTAAAAAGAGAGGAGCCTGCTTACTTGATACAACCTACCTGCCTCCCAGGCCTCAGCTCAGCTCTAGTGCCTCTGTCTGCAGCTCGGTCACCCTGTCCTGGGACGCTTCCTACTGTGGAGAACAACTGAACTTGGGTTTATACATTACTTCACCTCGTTCTAAAAGAAACCACGTTCAGGTCTAAGGATCTCCAACTCACAGCGGCAACCTGTTCGCCACAGGTAGCTTACCTTCATCTGTCCGCCCCCCACATGAGTGTCAGAAGATATGTGACTGTGTCATCTACTCCTTCAGGCTGTGCAAAGGGAACTAAAAGGCAGCTGCAAATGCTGACCCAGTACAACACTGAAAGCCCCCTGCTGGCTGGCACTACCAATCCCCACCTGGGGGCACCTATTCGCCACCTGCTAAGCACCTCCATCTTGGTGGTCAGCACCCCTCACCAGGCCCCGGAGTTTTACTTCTCAACACAGGCATCAGAAACCCACCAGGGATTCTAGTTTTTCATCCACACTCGCCCCGTTCTGCCCCCCATCCTGTCCCCTCCCAACCAAGTCAGACCCACGGCAACCGCCATGCTGCCTAAGTCACAGTACTCAAAAGCCAGGTGCGCGGATCTGACTTCCCCTGGCACAGGGGGCAAGGGGGCACCTCAGCCCCACTCAGGAGACCAAGCCTTTGAAATGTACAGACAGTGTGAGAAAGTTAGTGTCTGGTAGGGAAGGGGCCATTGGGGAGTGTCCCCCTCCCTCTGTCCCCCAAAACCCCTGCACCACAGGTGTCACATAATGAGGCCCAACTGTATCATTTCTCCCAAGAACGTATTTGAGGGGTGGGCCTGCTCCCCTTCAAGTCCCACGATGCGAGACCCCACCCGCGCGTCCCCACGCCCCACTCCCCGTCAGCAGCATCGTCACATCACAGTGAACCAAATCACGCTCTGTCCAGAAGGTCCCAGCAGCCTTCATGCACGCATTCCTGCCCTGACCGCCACACCAAGGTCTTGGGGACACTGACCCCGGCAACACAACATTCATGCCTCTGAGATCCCGTCTTCCTTCGCCGGGAAGCACAGCCCGTGGAGCTGGTACACAAAAGTCACCTCTGCCTCCCAGCACCCGTCAAAGCAGGAGGCCGAAACCAGGCTGGAATGGGCTGGGGGTGCCAGGGTGCAGGAGGAGTGGCCAAATCAAAGTCGGACGGAACGAGTGCCCCCTGCTCCCTAAAGCGCCCCCTCGGCCGGCGAGCTGACGGCAGCAGCGTGTCCAAAACTCCACTTACTGGTCTAGGTAACTGGCTCCTGTTGGATCAGACCAAAAACATCCATCCAGGTGCTTCATGACTCTTGCTTTCCTCTTTTTTCCGAGCCGTCCTTTATGTTTTCCGAACATTCCAGTTATAATCTGGGTTGTTTTTCTGTTCTAGTGATCTCTCCAAAGGAGACCTATGATCCAGGGGTGACTTGGAATCATGGGGAGATTTCTGAGAAGGGGGCGAGCGAGGATCCGAGACTGCTGGGTGCAAGGGGGGCAGGGGCTGTTTATATTCCCCCAGTTTGTCTGTGTGGAAGGAGCGGTAATGGTCTGAGGGTCCCTGGCCGTGGTAGCCCATAGCGGGGCGGTGATCAGACATTCGTCGGAAATCCTGCTGGTGGTAATTCTGAGGCCTAAATTCATCAGATCTCCTCCGCTTGGACTCATGATGGTGCCTGAAACAGAGAGGCAAGAATCAGCGGGGGAGAGCCAAGCCGGAATCCCATCCCCTCAGTCCCCATCCCTTCTCTTCCCCACGAACCCACACTCAAGGACCCTTCAGAGCACACGCTTACATTACTAGGAACCAAGAGAACAAAATGAAAGTAATAACAAAGGGCCATTTTACACTTATTGGCAAAACACATCCTATGAGATGACATAAGCCCCGTCAAGTCTGCAGTGAAACAAGTTCACACTGGAATCACTGACGGCTTTGTACACTCATGCAGCCGTCATTCAGGAAAGCTGGCACCATCTGCAAACATGTTCATATTCCTTGACCCAGCCCAGGAGAAAAAGGGCCACAGAAAGTAGCCCATAAGTTGTTAGTAACAGCGAAAGCCGCAACTGACCTAAATATCCAATAAGAAGGGAAGGGTTAATTATTTGAAAAATTGACTCAATGCAAAGAATATTAAATTCTTTTACTGAGGGCCACGGTAAACTGCTTGTTAGTCTAGTAAAAGAGAATGGGTACAAGTCAACAGTGAAAAGACAAACAACCCAATTCAAAAATGGGCAGAAGACAGGAATAAAGAAAATATGCATATGGTCCCCAAGCACACGAAGAGACGCTCAACCCCTTTAGCGATCTGGGAAACGCAAATCAAAACCACAATGAGACACCTCTTCATACCCACTATGAGGGCTATGTCCAAAAAACCCCCAGAACATTAGTACTGGCAGAGATGTGGGGAAATTGCAGCTCTCATGCACAGCCGGTAGGAATGTAAAATGGTTCGGCCTCTGTGGGGAAAATTTAGGTGGTTCCCAAAACGTTAAACATAGAACTGCCAGGTGACTAACAACTCGCTCCTAGATTCACAGCAGCACTGTTCACAATAACCAAAGGTAGAAACAACTCAAGTGTCCATCAAGGGATGAATGGAGAAACAAAATGTGGCATCTACCCACCACGAATGTTATTCAGCCATAAAAAAGAAATGAAGTACCAGCATGTCCTATCATATACATCAGCCTCTAAAACATTATGCTAAGTGCTCAAAGGAACCAGTCACAATGGGCCACATCTCGTATGATTCCACTTGTGCAAAATATCCAGAATAAGTAAATCCACAGAAACAGAACCCAGGTTGGTTGAGTATCAGGAGCTGGGGAGAAGGCAGAGTGGAGCGTGATTGCTTAATAGTGACGGGGTTTTTGCTCTGGGGTGATGAAAGCATTTGGGCGCTTGACAGAGGTTACACAACACTGTGAATGTCTTAAATGTCACCAGCTGTTCACCTTAAAAGTTAATTCATGCTACATGAATTTCACCTCAATAAATAGAGAAAGATAGGTGGATGGTGACGTCAAGCTCCTGTCAAGATTTACTCCCTGTCCTGAAACAACTAGAAAGAGACAAAATGTATGCGACAATGGTTTGCACGACAGTACATCAGATGTCAGGCATCAA